TGAGTTTTTTTTGTTTTTTTTTAATTTATATATATATAGATATGATTGATAGTAAAAGAGGGAGATTTGTGTATATATATATATATATATATGTATGTGTATATATTTTTATTTATTTTTATATATATATATATATATAGATATATTTTTTTATATATATATATATATATATATATATATATATATATATATATATATATATATATATATATATATATATATATATATATATATATATATATATATATATATATATATATATATATATATATATATATATATATATATATATATATAATTAGTCGAGTTAGAATAAATCAAGACAATAATATTTTTATTTTCTAAGCAAAGTTGAATTATAATAGCGGATATTTGAGAAATATCACATCAAAAAGAATTCCTATCATCTTTCATGTTGCTCTCTCTTTTATCATCATTGTGACCTAATACAATGACCATCATTTCACAATCATTTAAAGAAAAAAAAATGAAAAAAAAAAAGTAAATGGGAGAGAAAAAAAAAATTACCCATCGATCTGAATTAAAGTACGATCGACATAGTGATCGATTCGGTTCTGAAAACTATGACTCATCAATCAACGATATGAATTCGATTATTGTTCAAAATGTAAACATTTAATCATAATCCTTGGTAGGATTATTGGAGATTTTTTTTTATTTTTTTTTGATAGAATTGGCATGGATTTTTAGTTGAAGTGAAAGTATTAAACTAGAATTTGCCTGAAACATTGATCAATGATTCAATGGCGAACTTCTAATGGGATTCATAAATCTGTTGGCTGGCTTCCACATCAATCTCTGCATCCTGTAGCTGACATTTTCTGTAAGCAAGCAGTGGTCAATTCTATGGTGCATGATATGAACTCCTTCCCCCACCCCTCCTTGCTTTTAGCATTGGAAGTTCCTGTGAAGGTTACAGGGCATATGGCTGATCGGAGACTGCGTCTGTATGCGTGATATAACTGATACCTTTATTTATTTCCTCTTTACGCTGCTGTCAGTACTCGAAAGACAAGTGTGAGATTTGGACATGAGGGGAGACATGCAAGGAGGTCCCCTCCCTCTCCCAATAATTCACACTTCGTTGGGATTCATCTACAGCTTCACTTGCAGACTGTCACCAGCAGAAGCCATGAAAATAGCAAGGTCTGTTGCTGGGCATCTTCACCAGATGGCAATAAGGATTCTGCTGTTGATCACAGCAGCCTGACAAGGCTATCATGTGGAAGGGTGGACCTGTGTGACACACACCAAGTGCCACCCTGCATCTTCTTCTTCTTCTTCTTCTTCTTCTTCTTCTTCTACAGCATCCCTCTCTTCCTAACTCCAACAACTGCAGAACATATAACTCCTCAGGTTTTTGTGCCAGAGGTGAAGTAGTCTTCACTTGGTTTGAGACTTCCATGTGGTCAACAAGTTCAGTAGAAGGTGAAACCCTCCCTCGTTACCTTTCATCTCATTGATTCCTTCATGTCATCTTAATAACGTTGTTTCAAGAGTTAAAAATGAGTGAAGATCTAAAATGAAGTGAAAAGACTACAAAGCACCAATCTGATGAGGATAAATTTAGATTGTCATTCAAAGGAGATGTTAGAGATTCAATATGTAATTTCTTGGAATGTAAAGATAGACAAAATAATATGATAATCAAAAGGAATGATAAAAATATATCGGATGAGATTTTCGAAACTCTTTTATCACATAAAGAAATGATAAAAGATAGATCTCTTTTATCATATAAATAAATCATCGCTATAGTATTGAAACTATTGCGATCCAAATATTAGAAAAATATTTTAAACTCGGATGATTATAGAAAATATTTTACTTCAATGAGATAGTTGAGCTGATCAAGCTGTAACAGTCATTATATTTGGTACCTCTGAATTCTGTGTGTTGAAATTATATTGGATATCAATTTATTTTCCCATATGTTACAACACCAATGATAGAGGACAAAAACACTCCATCCCTCAATTCTGTATGTGATATGACACTAATGGTAGAAAAGCTCCAGTTATGAACAAGCAAAGCTGAATAAGATGGCAGACTCCATATCCTAAGATCTATATTATCTGTAGTAATCTGCACAGCAACAAAAGTTGAGCCTGACAGCAACTTTGATGCTCTGTAAATTAGCTCGTTCAGACTTCTTTCACAACACTTCAGCAGCTAAAGGACTCATTCTAGTAGCAATCATCAGACATCAAATCTGCAGCAGCCATCAGACAAAAGGATAATAGACTCATCCAGATTATGTAAGCAAGAAGACATGGTAAAAACTCATCAGGCATTCATGCAGTAGCAGACACAGGCTGATTGATGCAGACTTCCTATCTTCATGTATGCATTCTGGCTTTCAGACATCCACTGCATTGCCAACCGAGAACAGCAGAGAACTTTACGGTGTCCTGCCTTCAGATTGCACCACCATACTCTTTGTCCTTTTGTCTTTGATGCACTCCTGAGCTTCTCCAATGCTGACCTGCTTGTAAGATTAGGAACACAATGGACTTACATCATATCAATCTAATTAATTCCCCAGGAATGTTCATTCTACATGCCTCATCTTCTCATGTTCTTCTTGGTGTGATGATAAGGTAACTCCTTTACAATTTAGTTGCACATTTAAATGAATTAAATGACCAGATCAATTACACTATCCATCTTTGAATTTGATTGGCCATTCTATTTTAAGTCAGACAGGAATATTTATTCTTTAAAATAGAAACACTCATAGTGGTATTTCAAAGCTTCTTTCAATGTATTATATCAATGCACCTTAAAGGTTTAAGTTTATATACCTTCAAAAGTATTTTTATATATTCACACATATCGATTCATTAGCCACTAAGTGTCAGTTTTACGACGGATTACAAGAGCTTTAGATAACCAAAAATTGCTGTGAGATAAAGTTGGAACAAAAAAATTCTGAAAAATTCTCTGTTTTTTTTCAAACAAAGAAAGAAACATAACAAGATTCATTTTACACAATTAGCCAGCTTAGTTATCTTTAAACTATTAACACATTTCTAATTTTTTGGCCATTCAATTTTTTTTTCCTGCAAATAAGCCCTATACTTGATCAAATTTGCTACATGCAGACACAAATGTTCACATGGGAGATGGGCTTCTGTTGGGCCCAAAAAAGGCTTTTCCTTGTGGGCCCTTATTCATCTATTGCACAAGAAATAATTTGACCCTGGTAACTAAGCCAAACTAGCATTAGTAAGAAAGTTATCATAATATGACCCGATACAATAAATGATTCATTAACTTGATAGTCATGAGCCAACCAAAAATATTAACGATCGATCACTCGAGTCATCGCTCATTATGTCCACACTATAATACCATTTTCACGATGGGAAGAAGATACTTGAGGCTACACTTGATATGTCCAAATCATTGGTCTAAGATACTTAAGTTCAAATGAACTCAGTTTCTTTCCATATATCTGATGTGAGAGTAAACTAGGGTTTATGAAAGTGGTGGAAGGCACAATTGAAGTTAGAATTGACATCTGTGTGAAATCTCCAACTCCTCAAGTTCAGTAGCATCAATTGTGTCAGTAATCCCAGTAATACTGTGCCTCATATCAAGATTTGGCCTCAAGGTTGACTCAAATGTCATGTACAGCAATTTGTGAGGCCTCAAGCTTAATGCAGTACAAAGATGCAGATCTGAATTCAACCTCTAAGAAAGATTGATTCTTCAACTTGTGAGGCCATCTGCATTAGAATTTAGCTCATGTTCTTACAAGCTTAATTGAACAAATCAGATCTATCAGTTTGGAGTCTGGTTGAGGATCATAAGGAAAGAATCTTTTGACATCATAGGTCTATTGTGAACATTGATGCTTTCTGATTGTCAATAGTGATAAGGACTTCATTGATTAGTCAATATTTTTGAACACCCAAAAGAGAAAAAATACACTTGAAAGTGATTACTATTGTCCCAATCATAGTGATGACAAAAGCAATTTGATCAGCAGCTTGCTGGGAGGGGTTCCTAAACAAAATATTCATGTATGGAAATCTAGTTTGTGATTGTGCATCAAGTGTCTTGTAAAGATCTAAATTCCATGATATGTTAGCATCAGGGTCTGTCGTACCGAACTATACCGCCCGATACGGGCGGTACGTACCTGGGTGTACCGCTCGGTATATCGTACCGTACCGATACCGAGCCCAGGTCGAAATACCGGTACGGTACGGTATTGCGAACCTTGGTTAGCATATTAGTTAAATAATGGAACACATCTTTTTATTAACCCTAAAATCTAGACCTTAAACTTGTATATACAAACAAAGAAAAAAAATAAGAAAGAGGAACACATGAACTATGCCACCATTGCACACAGAATGAAGATAAGAAAATGAAACACAAAGTAGTAAATTTTAAGAGGGATAAATGATTCACCGAAATAAAATATACAATCACACATAATGAGATTTCCTATAGATAGTAGTCCCAAAGATCATCTAGCACTTTTATTGAGTATAATGCAGGTTTAGTAAAGAGGTTGCACCATCCTTTGGACATCTGACCTCACAAGACCATAAGCCAAAAACATGGTCATTGTGGAAAATAGGTTGTTTTTGGCAATCTTCCACTCTATTTCATGACCACTTATCCTACTTGGGTTGCATGACTTAAAAACTGAAAAAACTAAATGAAATATGCTGCAAAACCAAGCAAAATGAGGCTGCCAAGCTACTGCAGGTGAAGCTGCAACAGCACTCCATGACAAAGAAAGCAAAGGAGATGATGATGATTAATGCATGTAATAGACAGGTTTCATGCTACTTATTACAAATCAAGATGTAAAAGGAGTTCCGAGATTAGGTTGGCCGGTGGTAGCTGTCAATGCAGATTAAGCTGGGGCCTTTTAGGAGTTAACAAGATATGTTCTTCACTAACAAAGCCAAAAACAATCATACTATTGATAATATAATTTTTTTGTTACATGATGAAGGCTCCACATTTGTCTCATACTTGAAGAAATATTGGTTAAGATAGAAATCTCTCTGATTTGAAGCTATATGTATATATATATTTTTTTTTATTTCGAACAATTGTCATCATGGGGGTGTAGCTCATATGGTAGAGCGCTATGCGAGAGGCACGGGGTTCGATTCCCCGCACCTCCATTGACTTTTGTACATTCCTTTAAACTATATATATACATAGTTTTTCTTTTTGATTTCTTTTGAGAAACTTGCAAATAGTTAAATAGACAAAACTATTCCAGTTTATTGATTCAAAGGAAACTTAAGGTTGTAACATGTATCTTGCTTGAGTAGACTCAAAAGAACTAATTCTAAGATTGTTCCTCAACCACTGATCATGATCTACAATGTCCCCCAAAATGATTCATATATGACAATTTATTTGAAATTCTATGCTTCTTTTCTAGATCATATCTACAATAATAAGGTTTAACCATTAACTTCTGAGGATGATAAAGGAAAAGAAATAATGTCATAACTAAGTCGAAAATACTCCGCATGCAAAGAGTGATTTCCCTTCATGACAACTACACTTCCAAAGCCTTCATCCCACATGAACAAAACTGTTATATCATATGATTGAGACTAAAATATTCCAAAAATGATCACTTATTTATTGCAAGAAGAAGAAAAGGCCAAAGACCAGTACATATAAAATGGAAACGAAAAGGAAATGAAGACTGCAGACATGTTTGCTAATCACCTACCTGCATCATCTCCAAATGCACTACATGCTCTGCACAGTTCTTGGTTCCAATCCAACCAGATCACCAAAAATATATCCTAGTCTTTTTGTAGTACAAGCACAATGTCACTCACAGCTCTTCAGAAGAAAGAGAGTTGCACAAATTGATACTGATCACCTGCTTCATGAAGAAGATCCACACACACAGAGAAATACTGTTACTGAGATAAATGGAAAAAGAAAGATAAGTTGAGTTCATTCCAAATCATTACACATGAACAACAGGAGTCTCTGAACATCAAACAATCAAACTAGATTTCCATTTAGTCTCTTAACACTTATACCCTCTTCCATTGTCAATCAGGAAGACATGGCTTATTGCTCTTTTGTTGATGTAATTTGATTAACAAGAACAGAGAAAAAGAATTCCCAAATGAGGGCTAAATCCTAACTTCATGTGTAATCAACCAATTTGCAAGTCAAAAAGAAGAATTCATGGTAATGCAAAGTGTTCATTCTTTGGCAACCTTGGGAAGCCTTCTTTCTACATGTCAATGCCTTGTAATGATCAGGTAAAATAACTGCAGGTAGTATATTAAATGGGCAGAACATTCCACTCTACCTGAAGCTGTCAAACTGCAGGAAAAGGAGGCATCAAATATAGAAACTTGAGTTGATTCAATGGTGACCAGTTAAAACTACACTGTGGATGAAGTGTGAGAAGACCATTAAGAATGGTTGCTTTCAGGAGCAGACCCCACAAATTGGAAGCTGTCCCATTTCTCATCTCATCAGAGACGTAATGGTTACAATGGTTTTTTTTACCTCTTTTATCCACTTCTCCTGTGGAATTCAACCTTAAACTACAGTAATGGATAAAGAATAATGTGAGCTCACAAAGGACATGAAAATTACCTTGAAGAGGGTTATGCTTCTCATGCATCTTTCTTTGTCTCATACAGATACTTCTCTCCAACTTCCTTCCCCTTTCTGAGCTTGTCAGTGGAATCACCTATAACTCGCTAAGATCTTCCACTTCATCAAGGAACAGGCACCATGGATCGAGCAAGATGCAGGATGTGGACAGGCACAGAACAGAGCAACAGGCCTCGCCTCATCGTTCAGAGCCCGGACGGCCTTGTCGTCGGGTCTTCCATCAAGGAGCCATGGAAGGAAGAAGCTTATTCATGGCCTCCGAGATCTTACTCATGTAACTTCTGCAGGCGAGAATTCCGATCAGCCCAAGCCCTCGGTGGGCACATGAACGTGCACCGGCGGGATCGAGCCAGACTCAAGCAGTTGTACACCGGGCTTGGTGGAGAAGCCATGGAAGAAGACGAACATCACCCGAATCCTTCTACTGTGACGAGTGCAGGTTGTCATCAACCTCAGGTTAACCCTAGGTCTGCTACTGTTCTACCATCAACTCTCTCTCATAGGGTTTCTGCTCCATCTACCCACGAGCACTGGACTGAGACCAACTTCTTCTCACCTTCCTTCTCTTCATCCATCGCTGGAGATAACCTGAAGGAATCTCTTTTCTGCAAAACCAGATCCCTGCTTATTGTCTGTGATGAAAAGACCAACTGTAATAAGAGAAGGAGAACTGATCCAACGCCTGCTTTCTTTGTGAGATCCTGTTCTTGTGACCAGCAACAAGAAGTACAACCTGAGGTACTCAACCATAGCCTTGATGAAGAGTTGGATCTTGAGCCAAGGCTTGGAGATGCCCCCAAGTAGAGTTTCTGTTCCCTTGTGCTTGATCCAATATGAACCTTCTCTATGAAGGTGGATTGCCTCTTTCATCAGAGAACAAACAAGAATAAAAAGTTCAACTTTTAGAACCAATGTTTGCTTGCATTAACATAGTGATGATCTACAAGTAACAAAATTGATTCATCCAATCGAATCAATTCATATATATATATATATATATATATATATATATATATATATATATATATATATATATATATATATATATTAAATTATTTAAAATTATAAAATTTATGGCAACTTTCATCTTTAGAAGCAGACATAATACGGAAGAAAAAGAAACTGAAAACATTTTTGGTGACTCTAATATCATACGAAAAAATATATGATGCTTGGAAGAATAATGATTTTTGTTGATTTTTTATGGATATATATAGGTATAATATACTGCCTAATGCATATAAGATGCATTCAATTCACATTGTGTTCGTATTATATAAGGTATATGCTCGTACTAACATGTGATAATTGGTAGGGAAATATTTGATAATTCATTTAAGTTATCATATTTGTCCTACATGTTATCATATTCAACCATCCATACATAACTCAATTAATTTATTATATTAACTAGGGAGTTCAAATCGAATCGAAATAAAATTAGAATTGATTTATAAATTATTTAAATTTAAGCACTATAGATGATTTTTATTCGAGGATATTCTTTTTTTATTCATTTAATTAAAAATATTAACCTAATCAAATTTACTATCTTATGTTGAAATATTAATGTGATATAATTTTAATATCATAATTTCATAAATGACATGGGTCCAATTTCACAAATCATATAATGTCGATTCAATTGGATCAAAATTTATTTCGGTTCAATTGAACAAAATCGATTCATCCAATCGAATCAATCCATTCATAATATATATTAAATTATCTAAACTTATAAAATTTTGAACTAAATCGATTAAGTAAATCTAAAGTGATTCTAGTTCAAATCTATTTTACTTGATCCTAACTTAATTGATTCGATCTAAATAGTTTGAATACCCCAAGTATCCACCATGATCAAATGGCCATAGATTGTAATCGTCCATATGAGACGAAGGACAAGAGTCGACCTAATTCATTTATCGTATAAAATACATCATAAACATTTGATCGAGTTAGGATGGGTTTCACCAACCCGGTCAAAGTTAAGCTAAATTAGTTTGATACTAACCCATTATTTGCAACAACAAATAGATGGATGCCACGTGTTAAATCATATCGAGATTTGTGTCCCCAAATGTGCATGTGGACTTTGTGCCATGGCGGGCTCCACGCATTCAACGATATTTTCGTTATTACTCGAATGTTTTACCTGTTTGTCATTGGATATAAATGTGGGGTCCAATGATATTAGGCTACCGTGAGCGACAGATGTCGAATCGGTCGACGTCGTGGATCACGAGGCGGCCTGCGGTGAACGCAGGCGACTTCGTCCTTCGTCGACGACTACTTCTCTGCTTCTGTCTCCCTTCCCATGGCCGGCCTGATCGACGCATCCTCATCCTTTGTGTCCCTCATATAGGCCAAAGATTCCACGTCTAGTAGTGTCTCTCTTGTCTCCTCCTTCCTTGCGTGCCGTCGACATGGGTGTTCCGAAGGTGATTGCGGACCTCCGGAACCGAGCGGGCAGCGTCGACATGGACCGGCCTGGCGTTGGGATCCTCGCCTTCGAGGCGGCGGCCGCCATGTCGCTTCTCGTCTCCCTTCACCTCTCCCTCGCTGAGGACGAGGTCCGCAGGCTCTGCGCCGACATGCGGTCGAAGGGCGTAGCCTACCTGACCTCCAAGGACGAGCCGTTCCTCCTCCGGCTCGCCTACGCCGAGCTGGTTGCCGAGCTCGACAAGGCTGCCGCTACAGTCTCCCGGCTCGGCGCCAAGTGCTGCGACCCCCTCCTCCGGGGCTTCGACCGATTATACGCGGATCTCAAGGCCGGTGGCATCTGCTCCTTCCTCCGGGACTGCCGGGTTGCCGACCTGGAGCGCCTCGGACTTGGTTCCACCGCGAAGGGGGTTGAGAAGCGGATTAAGAGGATGGAGAGGTACGTGGTGGCGACCTCCCGGCTGTACGCGGAGATGGAGGTGCTGAACGAGCTGGAGGCGACGGAGCGAAGGATGGAGCAGTGGCGGCGGCACAGCGGCCCTATCCCGGGACCGAAGCCGGGCGTGCCCCCTGCTTTCGAATCTGTTCACTTAGAGCTCCGGTCCCGGCGCCACAAAGTTCGGAGGCTCAAGGAGGAGTCTCTTTGGAACAGGACCTACGACGAGGCCGTGGAGCTCATGGTACGTGCCGTGATCACCGTCTTCACAAGGATCTCCGCCGTCTTCGGCCCCTATGTTCTCGGCATGCTCCCCGGCCAGGACAGAGGCCATCGGGTGCTGATTCATCGGAGCAACCCAGATTACCCCGGCAAGCACTCGTCCGGCCCGCTGGAAACACCGACGTTGAAGGACGTCCTGTTCCTGAGGAGTTCAGCCCCAATCTCCATGGTCAAGGAATCGCTCGACAAGCCGTCCGAGAATTTGAGCAAATTGCTGAAAGCAGATCCGACCACCCTCGGCGGATCGGGTCTGGCGTTGCTGTACGGCAACATGATCGTGCTGGCAGAGAAGTTGCTGAAGACGCGGTCAGTCGAGGGACACGGACAGGGCGACGAGGAGGAGGCAGTGGAGGCGGCCGCGAGGGTGGAGCTGTACCAGATGATGCCGTCGGGGATGCGAACGGCGGTGAGGGCCAAGTTGAGGGAGTGCTGGAAGAAGGAGGGCGGGACGGTGGACGGGTCGCTGGCGGAGGGATGGCGGGAGGCGGCGGAGAGGATCCTCGCCTGGCTGGGGCCGGTGGCACGTGACACGCTGCGGTGGCAGGAGGAGCGCAACGTGGAGCGGCAGCAGCGGTTCCACGCCCTGCCGAGGGCGCTGATGCTGCAGACGCTGCACTTCTCCGACAGGGTCAAGACGGAGGCCGCCATCGTCGAGGTGATCGTCGGGCTGAGCTGCATGTGCTGGTACCAGGAACAGAGAAGGGAATAGCCATATACAGCTTCACGTACTCTTATGACATGGTCGATATACAGCTTCATATTCTTCTCTGATACATTCATGGCTTCTCCGTTCTTCACCAAGTTGTTACCGAGCACATTTTGATGCCAAATCCCATAAGAGTTTGTCTGATTGAATGGGTCAAAATCAAATGATGACAATAAAACTAGATATTGTTGATCGCTTAATGTAGAGATCATCTGGTAAATAATTGTTGATGATGAGGGTAATAAATGACGACAAGACTCGCGCAAACGTCATCTGTCCCGGTCGATACCTCACACCCCAAACGACCCGACGAAACCCGGTCAGACGAACCAGAACGCGCACCGAGACCTATTAACGACCTGTTCAGACTCGATCCTTCACGCCAACACCAGTGTCAGACGCTACCAGAAGTACGAGCTTGCTTCCTGCAAGCGGGGCATATCAGGAAACAGTGGGTTTCCCTATAAATACCCCCGCATTCCAAGCAGAGAGGGGGAGGAACACCGATAGCAAACTCCACCCCACATCACTAATTTGATCGTCGGAGGGGTCGGACCGAGCTTCCGACCCGACCTGTGTGCAGGTAAGGAGACGAAGCAACTTCCCCGGGACCCAATGAGAGGGCGCCTTCCCCCGGGGCATCCCGACGATCCCAGGCGTGGATCGGTCCGCGCGGTCGGTCACTCCGACAGTCCCAAGAGACCCCGAGCAAAGATCCCCACCATTCAGTCCCGAACCAAGCCGATCCATTGCTCGACGATCGGAGCCGACACGGCACAAAGTTGTTTACCTCAACAGTTGATAATAAAACTAGATATTGGAATGTGATGATCCGATCCGATCCATTGCTCGACGATCGGATCCGACCCAATGTTGAACTCAACCCAATCTGATCCGATCTGACCCGATTCACCGCCATATCGGGTGGGGTATCGAAGGAGGCGGTCGCGGTCGCTTCTCCTCGACGGTGCCGCCTCTCGGACTCTCCATCTCGACACGTGTCCTCACGCTTCTTCACGGATGCAAACCTATTTATATTCTTCGTTTAAGTCCCAGCTCTCCCGTCCGCGATCTCCCCTCTCTCTTCCTCTCCTCTCTCTCTCTCTCTCTCTCTGCTCGCCGAGTTCTCGAGAACGCCCCCAACCCTAACTTGCGAATCCCTTGTATGTGATCGGCCCGCATCCCTCGGATCCCTTCCGGCCCTTGATTCCTTGCACGGATTTTGCCTCGCTGCCACGAGGGCGATCGATCGCCGGGAATGGCGAGCAACGTGTCCGCCGTCTACATCCATGTCTTGGACGATGTCATCAGCAAGGTCCGCGACGAGTTCATCAACTACGGCGTCGGGGAGGGCGTGCTGAACGAGCTCCAGGCGGTAATTTCTTCTTGCCGGCCTAGATTTCCCTATAAAGTTCCCGTGTTTCTTGAGTCTCCCCCATTTCTAGGGTTTCATCACTTGTAGAAGTTGGTGTGCTTAGTTCTGCATTCTGGACTTATTGTGATCTTTTTGGGCCCAATTAAGCTGTGGGAGATGAAGATGAGGCAGTGTGGCGCCATCAGCGGCAACATCGAGAGATCGACCCTCCCGAAGAATGCGGCCCCGATCACCCCGGTCCATGACCTGAACGTTCCTTATGAGGGCCCGGCCGAGGAGTACGAGACCCCCACCGCGGAGATGCTCTTTCCGCCTGTTAGATCACTGCCTTGTTCTTTTTGTTCTATTTGATCATGTTATAAGGTTATGCCTGCTTTTATGTGTTTTTGGGTATTATTGCAGACTCCCTTGCAAACCCCAATCCAGACTCCATTGCCTGGAACTAATGATCCGCCGATGTACAACATACCCACAGGCCCCTCCGATTATGCTCCATCTCCCATATCTGATATCAGAAGTAGCATCGATTTGAAAGCTGGAAGGCCTGGTTCATATATGGTATGGCAATGTCATACATATGGGTGGTTTTAGTCATTTTTTCTTACCAGATATCGTTTTCTGTTTGCTTAGTGCATGAGTCGCTCTTATTATGAGCATAGACAGCAAATGAAATGAGATCTTGTTGACTTTGATCACCTCATTGTTACAGCAGCCACCTTCACCTTGGATGAACCAACGACCTCTTGGAGTTGATGTAAATGTCGGTAAGCATAAAGAAATTATCAGTATTAAGCAGGGTTTTATTTGCCTAGTAGTCTTTCGACAGAGTTCAAGTTTGGAGTAAGTGTCTCTTTTGTTGTGCATTATTTAGCTTATGATGAAGGGCGTGAAGAGCCTGATAGAGGATCTTCTCATCAGCCTGATAGAGGATCTTCTCATCAACACACGACTCAGGTACTTTTGTTCCTTGAACATGTCATTTTCATTGCCTTCTTTGGGGAATGTTTAACTATATTCTAATTGGATTTGATAAGCTGCATCTAAATTTTTTAATATTTTCTCGAGAAACTTGTTAACTTGTTTTCCTTGTAGTGTTAAACTTGTCATCCTAGTCTATCTCCTTTTATTGGTTTTGTAAGTGTCTCTTCTTTTATTTTTCTTCTAAAAATTTCTTCACAAAATTGTTTCCTGGGGAAACATTCTTAAACTTCTTGCCATTTGTAGTGTTGAGCTTGTCATCTGGTTTTGTAAGGGCTTCTTCTTTATCGTTTCTTTAATTGGTTTGGTTTCAGGACTTACTGATTTTGCATGTATTTCTTCTTTTATTGTTCTTCTAAAATTGTTTCTTGGGGAAACATTCATAAACTTCTTGCCATTTGTAGTACTGAACTTGTCATCAGGTTTTGTATGGGCTTCTTCTTTTATCGTTTGTTTAATTGGTTTGCTTTCAGGACTTTTTCATGAATTCTTCTGGGAAACGTAAAAGGGATGACTATGCTTCTCACATAAATTCTGGAGGCTATATTCCGCAACAAGATGGAAGTGGAGATGTGACGATAGAGTTTTCTCTAACACAGGTAGCTGCATTGAAGAACTATTAGTTTATTGTTTACTTTTGATGCCACTGATTCCAAGTCAATCTAAATTACATATTAGCTTCTGCGCTATTGTTGCTGCAAATTGCAACTATGGCATGAAGCAATGGATCTTTATTGGTTGAGGTATTAAGCCTGAGATGACGCATGTCACATGATTGCCATCACAGAAGGCATCATACAGTGCTAGATTAAACCATTATGCTTGGCGCTCCCTGATTCGATAGGGGCAGTGTAAGTGGATAATTGTCTTTCTTAAACATGTAATGGAGCCAATGATAAAGATAATTTTACTTTAGCAAAGTCTAGATGATTGTGCTATATAAAGGATGGATTTGAAAATAAAAAGATTGTGCAAGAGATTTTTGTTGTCAATGCTATAAGGCAACTAAAATTATATTTCAAAATTTTGGCAATCTTGTTACCTAATATGCTATTACATTTAAAGTTGTTGGACAAATATTTGGATGAGAAGCAATATTTTTCAGTCCTTTGTGTAGGTCTGTAATTCTCCTTGTTTCACTTAACAGATTAGCCAGATTGTGCATAGTGCCAAAGATTTTCATTGTTGGTTTCATTAAGGTTCACACTTGTGAAGAGTTCTGCTTATATTGAAAAAAAAAGTTTTATAAGGTGGTTATATAGTTGGGACATGACTTTGTTGTTGTATAAGGTGGTTATATAGTCATTTATGTGCATGCTTTATAATTTTTGGTAGTTAAGAAAGATCATATCCAAAAATATGTTGTACATGAGGTCACGATTCGGAGGTGAATGTCTAGTGTCCCTAAAAGTAAAATAAATAAATTATTGTATTTGTGAAGATTGGGTAGTTAAAAGAATTATTTAATTAAGAGGTTTTAAGGTGATTTGGACATATTCAGAGAAGAGCCATTGTAGTTGCATAATCTTTGGGGGGATGGATGGAAGGTGATATAGCAATTTCTTGTCGTTGGGACATTATTGCTTGTGGTTGTTGCATGGATGGAATGTGATGTAGCAATTCCTACTTCGATGATTGACCTCGTGGAGATCTAGGAGGGCTAACTAGAAATCTAGTGGAGCAGCACTTCTAAGAGATTTTCAAGACGAAACATGACTAAAGAGTGTTGTCCAGATTCTGAAGCAAGTTCTCAAATGTCAGTTTGAGGTTTGTGCCAGTTGGTATTTTACTGTTAATGATCTGACCAAAGACTGGTATCAGACCATATAGGTCAATGTTGGTTGGTTTTTAATTTTTAAAATTTAAGATCCAGGTCGTATAGTATATTATCCGGTATACTGGTACCTACCAATTGGTCTGATTGCTGAAATTGGTATCAGACCTAGATTAATTCTTAGTCCCATACATGACCTCTTTGGCACTTAAGTTCGAAATTTAAGAATGAAGAGGGCAACGGCACAAGAGAGAATGAATGCAAGGGTGTGAATACCCTGGCCTTGATGCCATTTTATAGGCATGGAAGGGCTTGTTAGGAAAAGGAACGTAGATATGTCTCCTCTAAAGATGTCAAGATAGGGGTTTAGGTGGTGACAATGAACCTTTGGTGCTGAGGACTCTTCATCCAACCAAAAGCCAAGAGCTGATAACTGGGATGGCTGAGAGTTCTTCATCTTACTGAGGGTCAAGAGTCGGGAGGGCTTAGATATCTTCATCCAATATAGGCCCAAGAGTTGAGAGGTTATGAAGGTCTTCATTGAGGGCCTATGAAGTGCATTTATAATTTGAATTGAAGGTGTTGGAGGGATAGCAAAAGAGCCATGAAGATTCGATGATAAACATTAAAAGGGTTGAAGACACTGGAAATATATAATTACATTATAGTACTAGAGCTTAGTGTTAAGGAAAGATCCATTGCATCCCAATCTTATATGATTGGAAATAGTGGCTATATGTTCTTGTTGTTAGTACTGTCGCTTCCCATGATGAAGCATTTATATATATAAAATCTCTTAGCATACACAATTGTAGATATTGTTCCAACTTTTAAGACAAATCAATAAGGCTTTCCATGCATGTTTACACATGTATGTAGCATATATCAAAAAAGGATATGAAGTTCTAGAACCATCATCATGTCTATGATAAAATTTTATTAGGATATAAACTTTGGATGCTGGGTGTTTCCTTTTTATGCTATTGTCCATTTTGGCTACAGGTATGTTAAGAATGATATATACTGATGAACATTGCATTTTAAATTATATAATTCAATACCGAAATATGTTTTGTATTTATAAGTCTTATTAATTATCAAAATAAATTAGCTATATAAATGTTTTGTAGGAGAAATCAAATTTAGAAGGATTTGATTTTGCTAGAAACATGAAGAAACTATATCATTACTTTTTGTATGATTCTATATTAATACAACTATATAATTAATAGTTCCATTTTGGTTTAGTGTAGGATGCTCAACTGTTGTAGACATGAATTTACATTATCCGCCTGTTGTTCACTTCATAATACTTAACACATCTAAGATTTCCTTTGTCATACAGAATACATTTCATTATTTACCTGGTGTTAGAAGTATCATAGAAAGAATATTTACATGGTAATACTCATAACTTGATGTTGTTTGTGCTGGAATACTGCTAGGGGCTGTCCAAACTTCACCTGAAAGATTAATTCATTTTTTTTTAACGGGATAGGAACCATTGGATTTGCTTGCACTTCTAGCCACCATATACTGTGCATGTATTTGCATACACTTCTCTAGTTTACCTTATGATTCATCATTCATCAGGGCATCATATAAGTATCATGATTAACGTTTATGCAGTTTTGACATGGTACGGAGTGCTGGCATATCGTTGTTGTGAGATACTGTAATGTCAGCATGCCACGTGGAACCCAGTTAATGTATTTCTGTTGTCATTATGCCACATCAGGACATTGGAAGTGCCATGCTAGTGCCATTCAGTCATCTGTTCGTATCAACACTGAATTTATTCTTGCTTTTGTTAGTTTTATTTTTTTATTTTTAATGATCATATTGGCCCTTTTCTGTTGTATACATTAAAATGTGGTATTTTTCACAATTGAATACTTCAATATAAGATGTTCACAGTTCACTAGAATTATTTTTTGTATGATGGGGGAAAGCCCTGAACGTTTTAATGGTTTTAAATTAATTAGGGCTGCCAAATTGAGATCTGGCTGGAGAATCAGGGCTTTCCTGGAATTAGTCTTTACATTTTTCATATGATATCTGCTTCAATTTTTAAACAATCTGACAGAGCTATAATTCATTTGAAAATACTTGGTAATATAGGTTATTGAAAGTTATTTTTTTGTGTTTGTATGATTGTGTCATCTCTTTGTCACCGAATTTAACTCTTATGTCAGTGTTATATGACACTGATCACCACTTACGTGAATCCTAGTGTTCCCAATCTTGATAGTACCCGTGTATGTCAGTCACTGGGCAGACTGGTACCATTCTGGTCCATACCAGTGTACCACTGGTATATACTGGATTTTGATACGTATAATGAAAAACCCCAAAAATTATAGTCCATAAGCCTTTTTCTTCATAGGATTTAACCCCTAGGACCAAAAAATATAGTGCATAGTACCTGTGTGCCGGTCACTGGGCGGACTGGTACCATACTGGTCCATAGCAGTGTACCTTTTTCTTCATAGTGACTGTGTGTCTCAGTCACCGGGTGGACCGGTACCATATCGATCCATATCAGTGTACCGCTGGTATGTACTGGATTTTGATACATATAATGAAAAGCCCCAAAAATTATTGTGCATAACCTTTTAATGAGTTGTACCTTTTTCTTCATAGGATTGCCATTATCAAGTGGATTGGGGAGCATTGATACAGTGCTTGATGTTTAATTTTGAAGTGTATTATTTAGCATATTTGCTTTTAGAAGTTTCTGTTGTGGTTTCTACCTCGCCAATTTTCATGCTTATTTATCAGGAGATCATTGGAAGTACATATGAAGTGTAAGAACTACATTTCCCTTATTTAGGTTTGTTTTGGAATCAACCTCACAATCAAGTGAAGCTAGTCAAGAAGGGTAGCATTAATGTCTTTGTCTCTCCTTATGTTTGCTATGTGCTAAATTCACGCCACTTGTATTTTTATTTTGATTTTTTTGTAAATTGAACATGTTTTACAAAATTCTCTGCTCTTCATTCTATTTTTCTTTTTTCCCCTCTTTCTTTTTTTTTCTTGAAAAGAAAATTATATAAGCTTAAATCAGTCTGGTACAGAAGGATCCCTCTTTCTCTGAAAAGAGAATATTACAAAACTCTACTGGCAAGTTTCCTTGCCACAAAAAGTTAGAGGCTGTAGCTCTAGCAAAATCAGCTACCCCATGGGCAGCTCTATTCATCCCCCTATAGATATGTGTAATTGGTGAGTCTTCAAAATTCCTTAACAGCTGCTGGATGCTGTTATAGTGATTGCAACCTGGATTCCCTTCAGCACAGCAAGTACCTTGCAGGTCTCCCCATCACCTTCAGCAATATACCTGCCACCAGCAATTAGGTAGTTTCGAAGTGCATCTCTAATGACAAAACCAGTGCCTTCTTCGTTGTTACTTCCATACCATGAACCATCGGTGTTAAGTTTTAGCCACCCCTTATTAGGTTTTACCCATCTAAAAGAAATTTGACATAGCTCACCATTGTCTTCAGATATAAATTTTTTAGCGTGGACAGCTTTATAAGCCAAAGCTTTATGACAGATAGCACTGGAGTTGGTCTTAGTATTGTCGATTTTAGCCTCGTTCTGAGATTTCCACAAAATCCATAAGCAGTTTGCAATAATAGCTCTAAGTATCAAGCAATTTACTTGGTTGTCCTCAATTCCACATCCCATGATACCATCGATCCATATACTTGAACTGGATGTTCAACAATAATTGAATGTTATCCCTAACCTCCTTAGCTAGCTGACATTCAAAACAAATATGCTTTACAGAGTCATTTTGACCCCCCCTTCCACAATGGGTATCTGCGATAGATCTGCTAAATATATGTTGTACGTCGATAGATCTCAAAATATGCTCCAAGTATCAAGCAGTTTACTTGGTTGTCCTCAATTTCTTTGAGCCACATCCCAAGATACCATTGATCCATATGCTTGAATTGGATGTTCAACTATAATTGAATGTTATCCGTAACCGCCTTAGCTAGCTGACATTGAAAACTAATATGCTTTATAGAGTCAATTTGATCCCCCCTTCCAAAAAGCCAAAGGAGTGGGTATCTGTGATAGATCTACTAAATCTATGTTGTATGTCAATAGATCTACAAATTTGTTTTTCTTTTTAATAATATTTATTATTTGATAATATGGAATTTATTGCTGATGTCATTGCTTGTTAGTCAAACTTTCATCTAAGCTTGCTGAATTTCCATGGGCTTTATTAATAATGATAAAAAGGCATTTTTTAACACCTAATAATGGTAATTTTAGGCTTAACAAATATGTACGAGGATAGGAAGCAGTTTTCTATTATCTTTTATGTGTCAGTGAAGTTTTTATGTATAGTTTTGTGCTCTGTCTCTTCCCCTTGTTAATGCTCGTTTTTGCATATGAGGAGTTGTACCATGCCATTACTACTACTGAAATGAATGTGATAGTTATATGTCAAGTAAAAAATATATATTGTGGTGGTAGAATAACAAGGTGTCAATCTGTATCACTTGAATATCGGATGCTCTTAGCTTATTCTGGTTCTATTCAACAACTGAATTTAACTGGGAGTATACGCTTTCTACGACTCTTTGCTGCTGGCCTGTAGATCTCTGATCTTTTTCTTTTATGGATCCAGGATGTGGTAAGCCAAGTTCAGACATCATCAATTGTTCAAGACCAAGGAACTGCAGATTCCAAGTTTCTTTCCAATAAAGAAGCAGAACCAGCTCTAATGCTTCCTCAGCATGATGGGATACATGATGAATATGATGATGTACTCAATAAACTTCTGATGCCTTCTAAATCAATTATGATGTGTCTGCTCTCATTTTATTTACTTCCTGTTGGGTTTGTCTGTGTAGTTATTTCATTTCCAAGGAGTTGCTAATGAAGATTATAATACTCCTGGAGACCATGGTAAACTCATATTATCAATAGTGGATTGTGGAACTTCTCGGCACATGGATAAGCTTCAGTTTTCTTTACCAATACTGACTTGTTTTTTGCTTTATATTTTCAGTTGAAATGCGAGCTGCTACCCCTTCTGTTGGCACACCAAAGCCTAGCAAAAATGATGCAGGAGAAGATGACGAGCCTCCGCTTAACGAAGACGATGATGATGAGTTGGATGACCTTGACCAAGAAGAGGAAGAGACAAATACTCAACATTTGGTTCTTGCGCTGTTTGACAAGGTAATTGCTGTTAATGGTACCCTTTCCAGATAGAGTGAAAAGGAATTGAAAATTTTCCTGTTTCACTTGATGTCTGTGTAGGTGTCTCGGACCAAAAGCAGATGGAAGTGTACCCTCAAGGATGGAATAATGCATCTCAATAACAGGGATATTCTTTTTAATAAGGTACCCTAGCATTGGTAGTAAGCTGATGAAGTTGGAGATCTGTCATTATATTTGTTGTGGTTATCTATTATTAATGAACTATGGTTTCAGAAAAGCCATGCTTTTTGGAAATTTTATTGTGATGCTTGACCCTTGATTAAGTGCCCATTTCACTGATGTATCAGCTAGAGGTGTTAATGGTCCTTGTCTAGTTGAATTTCTAGGTCAATTGGAATGTTCTTTCACTAGCTGGATTACTGTTCGTATGTAATTTTCATTTTCGCATATGGTTGTTTAAAATGTTTAAGATCTTTGGTACATCGTCAAAACTTGGCAAGTTGAACACCTGAATTCTTTTCTGCTGTAATATCTGTACCAAAAGTTGCTTATGTAGCAACTTCATGAACACATGAATTCTTTTCTCTCTCTTTTGGCCATAGAGTGGTCAAACCTACTTTTTTCCCTGATTAAGCACAAGAACATGGCCTTTTTTGTTGATAACAGAATGTTGAAAGATTGCTTCATTTCAAGGGGCACATGTTATCTGAAAATTTCCCGCTGATGTTTTAGATGGGACGTTTGACTTATACTGTGTAGGCAGGTTTTGGTGCCAGAAGGTACTTAAGTTTTACATTCCCCATACAATAGAAAACCCAGTTGGGCTAGATGAAGGCCATCATACAGAAACAATTATTATATGCAGATTTGAAGCACAAATGTCATGGAAAAAAATATACCTTTCCAAGTGTAGGCAACATGTACTTTATGAATTTTCTGGGCACCAAATGTAGCTAATGCAATATAGATTGCATAGATATTAGTCTGTCTATTGTGATTGCGTAAAGCAAATCCATGATCTTGGTAAGAACATTATAACCTAAGATCGTGCGAAAATTTTGAAATAATTTTATGGCTTTCCAGATTTGCATTACAACTTTTTCTTTAGTTATTAGTACATCTTATATTGCAAGGCATTCATGTGTGATGTGCCGAATGAAAATTGTAATACCAAAATACGCTACATTATGGTACATTTGAGTTACACTAGAAATGACATATACTTTGTGATTGGGAAAGTAATACGGTTGTCGGAAGATTTCAGTTTTCCAAGCTCTGTTACTTGCACAGACTGTTGAACTTTTAGTGCTGTAGTTTGATTTTTAGTGAATGTGCAACTGTTTAAGTCAGCTTCAGGAGCTAAGTGTCTCCTTTTCCATTTGATTGTTAGTTCTCAACATTTAATGTATACCTAGTTGCATGTTCTAATTCTATGAGAACATATTTGGTTTCTTGGTTGTGCTCTCTTCACATGCATGATGCAACTAGTTATGTTTCTTTCCCATGTTTTAATATTACACTATATTCTTTCTTCTTTATAGAAGGTAAAAATAAGGTTTGCTGCCTGACGATTATGAACTCATCCGGGAACCTGTAACTTGCTCTGCAGGCCACTGGAGAGTTTGAGTTTTGATTGTGATAACAAGGAGCTGTTGGATGATCATGGAAGCATGGGCTTCGCCGAGCTGTTGTTAACCCCTGGCTGCTGCTGCTGTGCGTTTCTGCAAACTTGGCTCTCCCCCCACCCCCCTTTTTTTTCTCTGTTCTTTTTTACCTGGGAGACGATGTTAAATAAAAATCCAACCACGGGATCACTTGCTGTTTCTTTTATTTCTTGAAGATGCTAAAACTAGATGAACCCTGTAAATCTCTTTTTTCTTGGTTGCCTCAGACCATTAAAGACTCGTCAGATGTTAGATTTCAGCATTCAGATATTTTCTTGTGAAGAAGAGCATTCAAATATTTTCGTGAGCATTTTTTGCTCGTGAAATGGATCTCAGTTTGAATCAGCTGAGAGTCCTGAATGAGGTTTGCTTGGTTAGGTGTAAATTGTGTAGTAGTGTCAGAAACGCTTTCAACGAGTTTGTGTTTGTTTCTTGTACTAACATGAGTTAGGATTCGATCAAGGGGAGAGCTCCTTATCAATCACTAGTTAGTGCTAGATTAGGATCATTATCTTCCTATCAACATTCAAAGCGTTGATTCCCGAATCTAATCTTGCGATTAGATTCGGGACTTCAATCCCTTCTTCACCATTTATTTACCCTTTGGAGAATACAGAAATTAGTTGCATATCATTTGCTAGGACAAGAAGAAATTAATCGTAGCGTTGTGGGTGTTGTGCCATTTATTGTACTGATACGAATGCTTGAGGATATACGATCCTAATTGCTACTTTATTCAGATGATTGATTGATACCATGCAAATCCCATTATTAATCATGCAAGTGGACAAAGTTATGAAGCTATATCTTAGATTATTATTGTCATCATTATTGCTGTTGATAATGCTATTTTATTGGTGGTAGGATCACAAATCATTACCAACTCATCTGAAACATTAAGCCAATAAGTGAGAAAAAAAATTAGACAATAAATCAGACAAGCAACGTGCTGAAAGTCCAAACTATGTGGGATCCACTTATTATTGGGTTCTAATCCATTTGAGTTAATACTTCGGCTCCTATCACTTTCTAGATTCATCTAGAAGAGTCAAACTTGTGAAATCCATCCACCAGACATTGCTACTCGACCCAATTCTTCCCCCCCTTCGAAGCCTCCATAAAAAAGAGATTTTTCGAACCTCTGAAAAGGAAAGTTCATGAATGTATTTGTGATACAAATGTGGCAGCCTCATCTCATCCTCATCCTCTTTTGCTTTTGCTTCTTCTTATCTGACCATTGTATCAATATGATTTTTGTTGGCATTGATGAGTAGTGTCCTTTTGCATCACTTAAACCAACCAACAAACAAGCAATAAAAAACTTAAATGATTCACACCATTCAAGAAGGGCTGTAATAATTTATTTTGGATCTGATTAACTAATTCGTTATTATAATATCAGCAGACAATTTGAGTTCTTTTTACCAAAAAAGAAAAAGAAAAAGAAAAAAAAAAGGTCTGGGAGGGATAATATATCCTTATATTTGAGATGGGATAGATTTAGATCTTCCAAAATATCTTTATATTTTGGAAGGAAAATATATAATCCTATTGATGAACATATAAATCTATCCTTTATCCCTCTCAAACCCTATATTGACAGAATTCACTTGCTTAGCAATACCAATTAATAGGCTAATAAAATATCATTTTGGAACAAAATAGATTGATCATCAAAGATTAATTTTTTTTTTTATTTTTAGGAAAGACTATCAACAAGAAATGAAAAAAGAGTAAATCATTGATCATCTATAAGAATACAAGAATTATTGATCATCTAAGAGTAGCAGCTGAAGACATATTAAATTATATATTGATCTTCAGCTACTATTGTTTTGTTTCCACTTCATGGAAAATATGAGGGTGGAGTCTTTGTCTGGACTCATCATCACACATCTAAATGTAGCTTCCTTAATACACAATAGATTCTTTGGTGAAAGAAGAAATGGTCCACCAACCAATCTTTTTGTTCTTTCATATGAATTCAAGCTGAATATTCCTATAGATGATCAATAATTTAAGAGGAAACACAGCCTCTTCACTTATCTCCTTTTCCATTTCTTATTGATAGTTTTTCCTAAAAATTAAAAAAATTTAATCTTCGATGATCAATCTATTTTTTGTGATCCTATTAATCACGATCAAAGTATTGCTAAGCACACGATTTATGTCGATAATATATAGTCATATCTTTATATTTTGGAAAGAATAGATTTAGATCTTCGTCAACAAGATTATATTTCTCTTACTATTAATTATCATGATGATCAAATATATAATAAAATTATCGATAAATTAATGTTAACCTTTACCAAATCATGTATTAATAGAGACCTTTATCACCGATAAATTATTAGAAGTTCAAAATATATTTGTTGTTTCTTACAAGCAATTCTAATCTTAATTCAACTTAGCACATGTATAATTATTTTTGATCAATCACATAGCATATCACTAAATTGAGTATAACTACTAAAACACAACCAAAAGGCAGCACAATTCACAATAATTGCAAAAATCTTATCAACCAAAAAGCTTCAGATTGTTTTGCTCAGAATTTTTTTCTTGTTTTCCTTAATAAACTCAGTTGGATAAGGATGTCTATTGAGTTCTCCAAATTCTCTATCTACTCCACTACTAGTGGTCCTTAATCTACTCTCACTATTGCTACTAAAGCAAAATCCTACCAAGAATTGTCTAATGGAAGAATCTTAGCCATTAGCCACACCTTTGTATCATGCTCATTAGGACCACAAATTTGTAGAAGCCATCAAAGAGGACAAGGATACTTCAACTGGAAAGGGTCTCATTCATATGCTATTCGAATGCTAACTTATGTAATATTTTTCACGCGTGCATACATACTTACACATTGCAATCTTAACCCATTAGTTCTTGATCTATATTCTCAGTGCTCCATGTCACGATCCGAGTTTGTTGAGTTAATTGATCTATTTAGCTCAGAGCATTGGCTAAATTGACTAAGTTGAAATTGATAGCAGTACACTCAACAAACATTTATAAGTCAATCTGAGATGTGTTACAATTTTTCCCACTCAAGAGCTTGATATCCTCGTCAAAGTCCAGCATATTCCAGATCAAACCCTAGCATATGAATGTGAGACGTAGCCCAATGATAGCTTCACGTCGTGATGAGTTTTTTGACTTCATCCACCGATAGTCTTTTCTTGCTCGAGCCCTCTCACCATATTCAAATATTATGTCAGCTCTGATACTAAATATAAATATTAAGACCCGAGCCTAATAGGTTAACTAATCTATCAACTTTGTTTGATGGTCAAAATACCTAAGTTGAAGTTGATAGTAGTACACTCATCAAACTCTTATAAGTAAATCTTAAGAGTGTTACACTCCATCTCATTCGTAGATGACAAATGTCTCAACTTAACATCAATAGAATTTAAAAACATGCTTAAGCAGGTACATAAATGAACATAATTTTAATCTTTTATCTTTAACCATTTGTCTAGCTAATTCAAACTAAGGTGTGAGAGCAAGAGGATGGGTGATAGAGAAGAGAGGACAAACTCACCCTTCAAAAAGAAAAAGAATCTGAATACAATAACTCAATGCTATTCTTCTCTTCATGGCTGCATCACCATCACCAGAGAATACGAAACAAACCTAACTGGGTGATGCATTCTTTAGTAAGTGTGGCACTTAATGGATGGAGGAGACTGTGGGAGAGGATCTGCCCATATTGTAATGAGATGAGCTCATGTGCAGTCAACCAAAAACTTTGTCTCATCTCTCTCTCTCTCTATTTATGTTGTTCTTCGAGAGTATTTGGTGAAACATGTTGTATTACTGGGGTTAACATGCATTAGACTAATCCTATCTAATTATGTCCGAATAAGTCATTGTAAACACAGTGGTCAGCATAACATCACCTTCTTATCATCGCATTATTAAGCTCGTGGAGGAGAGCAAAGCCTTCGGATGCTCCGACCGACCATTATGTTCGACGCATTTTCCACCTTTCGGAGACCATTACCCATGTCTCTACCGTCTATCCATTGGCCGAAATTATGGGGACACCGTGGAGCCCATCGGTGGTGGGGTTTTGTGTTCTCTCTATTTTGACCAAGGGCATCGAGTCCACGTCGATAACTTGACGACGTCATTTGGAGAGCCAATGAAATTTGGCCACGTACGTACATTGGCGAGCTAACGCCGTTACGCAGAATCGTCCAAAATATGTCGTCACGCCCAGACGGCACCGCCGTTGATGCTTCGTCGAGCGAGCAATAAAAACACCTAATTCCCCTCCTCTCGCCCTCTTCAAAGCCACCTCCGGCTCCATCTCAACCCAAATTGTGTTTCGCAAGGATCATGAGATAGGAATACGGTAAATTTTCCCTTTATTTTTTGTAGAGATTTGAGCTTTTCATCTGGAGATGGGATCGGAATCTTCGGACTCATTGCTTTGAGGGATTCGTTCGAAAGATCGGAACTTTCGGGGTTTTGTCCCCGGATTCTTTCGTTTCTGAGAGAAAGTTTGGATCTTTGTTGTTGTTCTTGTTCGATTTGATGCCTTCTGCCATAGCGACGGCGTCGTCGTACTGGTGCTACCGGTGTAGCCGCTTTGTCCGGGTGTGGCCGCGGGACGCCATCGTCTGCCCCGATTGCGAAGGCGGGTTCTTAGAGGAGGTGGTGACCCCTCCTCCCCCCGTCCCCGCAGTTGCTGAGCCCCGTCGCCGCCGGATCCCCTCTGCAGGCGCACACGCTCTCGGCAGCGACGAGTCCTCTGTGGCTGCTCACCCCCGCCAGCTCTCCGAGCTCAGGTTCCAACGCAACCGCCGCACATCCGCCGGTGACAGGTCCTCCTTCAATCCGGTAATCGTCCTCCGCGGCCCTTCAGACGGCGCCCGTGACGCGGATCGAGCCGCCGCCACCACCAGATACGAGCTCTACTACGACGACGGCACCGGATCCGGCCTCCGCCCCTTGCCAGAAAGCATTTCGGAATTTCTGATGGGCTCCGGCTTTGACCGCCTCCTCGAGCAGCTCGCCCTGGTCGAGCTCAACGGCATCGGTCGCGAGAGGGGATGCGAGCATCCACGGGCGTCAAAGGCCGCCATCGAGTCAATGCCGACAATAGAGATCGTTGGTGACCACATCGGCAAAGACTGCCATTGCGCCGTCTGCATGGATTTGTTCGAGCTGGGGACTGAGGCCCGTGAGATGCCCTGCAAGCACATCTATCATCAAGATTGCATCTTGCCGTGGCTTTCGCTCCGGAACTCTTGCCCTGTTTGCCGCCATGAGATGCCGACAGATGCGCAAGGAATAGGGACACCGGGGGCAGAAGGCGATGAACAGCCTTCTGCCCCCAGGAACGATGAGGAGTCGGTGGGGCTGACAATATGGAGGCTTCCTGGTGGGGGGTTTGCAGTTGGGAGGTTCTCTGGGGGCAGGACGGCGGGGGAACGAGAATTTCCGGTTGTTTACACTGAGATGGATGGTGGATTCAACAACAGTGGAGCACCGAGAAGGATCTCGTGGACTTCAAGAAGGAGTAGGACAAGAGAGGGCAGAGGAATTGGTCAGGCTATTCGTAGTTTCTTCTCATTTTTTCGGCTGCCACGATCGACTTCCTCTTTTTCACGGTCCAGCTCAGAATCTCATCCTGCATCTTCTTATAGGCATGAAAGGGATTCAGTTTTCAGAAGGCGTTCGTGAAGTCGAGGCACCAACTGGGATGGAAATGCCAATGACATTGCATGATGACGGTATACGGAAATGCTTTTGTTGTAAATAGATCAACATCTGATTTGTATCTCTTTAAACTTGTATCAATTTGATGGAAAGAATCAACTGCATTATCATAAAAGAAAATACGTGCTCTTAATATTTTGGTGGCTCAATCCTCTTAGTCATTGTTTCAGCCCATTTATTAGAAATTTCTTGATAATTATTGTCATTTTGTTATAACCTGAATGACACTGAATACCCTGTCTATGTGTACTTTATTAGTTTTGGAGAATCGGATTGGATTGCATTCCTTTGTCAACTTATACAAATCATTTAATTTTCAGATTTTTTGGTGTCTTGGTTTAAGGTTGACGATAAGTTAGCCTTAAAAGTCTTATAATATTGTTGAATTTTCCACTGATATCAGATTGCATGGGCTGTTTGTACGAAAAGTTGATTCTGCTTAGCTAAAGTTTGTGCTCATTCATTCCAAACGAAGTTTTTCTGAAAATTTTCATTTCGTTTTCTGAAAGCTGTGATAGGCAACTAGAATATAGATTGTGTCAGCCGTAGATTTAATGTCCTTCTAAAATCCATCATCAGATTTTTTTTGTTGCCAATGACAAAATTTTAGACTGTTGTTTAATTTATGGCTTCCTCACAGTGAAATGAAAAATCATATCATCTTTGATAATGTGAATTGTCATTTCATATTTTTGTTCTTTGATTACTTAAATGACCTGTCGTAACCGAGCTTGTCCCGAAATATTGTCTCGATTATATCATGTTAATGACACTTCAATCGCAAAATCTGTTGCAGATTCTCTTTCGCAAACCTGTCAATTTCTTATGATGCAGATTCGTCGAGTTTTGCATCAAGACATTTTGGGTGGTTGAATCTGCCTGTTCTTCTCAGCAGCCACAAGAGCTTTATTCAATCCCAATTAAAGTTTTCTTAGTTTCTGTTCTGCTATAGAAGCCTACAGATATTATATTGCAACTGTATCTCTTTCCTTAGGGTGATCACATCTTCATGAAAGATGTTCTCATTTGTTGTATTAATGAACCTTTCCATCTTAGCTCTCTGTCTGATCATTTGATAGAGATAGGCTGATACATGGTGGTTGGCCTTCCTAATATCTGTTCCCTTGTTGGTTGTCTTCTTCTTAATCATTGAGGGGTTAGATTACTTCTTCTCTTTCTACTTTTCAGCTAAATTGTTGGCATGATCTTTTTCATGATTGAAGGTAGTGTTCTTGGAATTTCTGTTGTCACACTACTCACTGCAAGTAGTGTTCCTGCTTCAAGTATGTTAACTATGTATTCCAGGCAGCAACAGTATGTACTCTCAAAGTGCATCACTTTATGTAAGATTTAGATCCTAAACTGGAGTATATTGTGAGCTTGGATCTTGTGTGATCTCTCCCAACCTACTAATTATTTGTGTGCAATATTTCTCTGCAGCTTTTGGTGATCTTTCAAGCACATTTCTTGTATTGTGAGAATTGCTTTGCTATTCTCTGACTGACAGACTCATTCTGCTACCAATATTTAGGTAAAGAGAAAGTTTGGCACCAAGTTGTGATGCAAACAATAATAGTTATAGGCTTTGAAATGAGTTTTAATATTGTGAGAATTTCTTTGCTATATCAGCCTCTTTATAGACAATATTCTCTTCACTGACTCACAGGTTCTTCTGCTGCCAGCACTCATGACTCCATGTTGTGATGCAAAACAATATAGTTATAGGCATGAAAACTAAGTTCTCAAACACATATAAGATTACATTTTTTTTCTGCAAGTAACATATTGTTATCTTTTAGCAAATAAAATAAGATTACATATTTCTGTCCTCTGTTAGCATCAGAAGAGAACCAGTCAGATAATGCCAACACTCTCATTTGGCATGACAAGATGTAAGTTGTAGAAAAGAAATACTCTCTCTCTCTCTCTCTTCACATTTGAAGATTTCTGAACTGTGTCAGCAACAGAAGAGAACCAGTGAGATAATGGTATCACTCTCATTGGCTTGGTAAGATATTAGTTGCAGAAATAACATCTACAAAAAAGAGTCTCTCTCTCTCTCTCTCTCTCTCCCTCCTCTTAAGATGGAAGAACTTGACTGTGGTGTTGCAAGTCTCATTTATCAAGCTAGGTGGGAGCCAACAACTAAAGAAAGGTGGATCCCATCATTCTGTAGCTGAGATGGCTGGCATTCATTGGACCACTTGGCCTAGCAAGCCTTCCTACTGTCTATATTACATTGGTCAAAGTCTTCAATGCATCTCTCACCTTCTATACGCACACGGTTAACGGAAATCTGCAGGCCTTCCCTCGGGACCCACCATGAGCCAACTGAGGGTACATGATCCGGGCACCATCCGTAAGGGTATCTGTAGATGCATCTCTGCACACGTGACGCTGTCCCCATGAAAGTGTCGGCTTAAGGCAGTGCGGTGGTGGTGAGTATGGCGCATCGGTAGCCGGAGCTATCTTCTCTCAGTGGCGATAGCCTTCACCTCTCCCTTCTCCTCGCCCTCCTCTCCCTTGCGGCGGAAACCAGCATCTTATGTTGTTGTAGTAGTAGGATCCGGTTTGCAGGTACCGAGCCTTCCCCTCGCCTTCCTCCACGGAAATCGATGGATGAACAACCTGATTGCCTGCCGATTCATAGGTGCTTGTTAGGTTTTAATCTTCGGTCGATCATCAACTTTTCGTTTCGAATTGGATTTCGATGCATACATAAAATGGAATTACTCCTTTTCCTCTTTGCTTGCGTTGTTTTGGTCTTGATCTTTTGGTTTGGGAACATTTTATCTGCGTCAAACTCATCTCTTGGATCTGTCTGCTCCTTTTAATTGTAATTGATGGCATAATTGAACATCGTATCAGATGTGTTATGTTTAGATACCCCATTTTGGGGACGAAAGCAGAGGATTATAGAGTGATTTTCTACATTTTGCGAACGGGAACCTGCAATAGTCTATACTCTGATCGACTACAAGTTAAGTGCAAGTGCAGATTATTCAATAGTGATCAAGTTCGGCGGCATTTAGGTTAGCAGATTTAATACACATCTCTTTCTTTTGCCACTGAGAACTTGCAAGTATCTACATCCTGATCAACTTAGGCTGCGAGAGTGACGATTTAGGCATCCATTTGCTGCAAATCTTGAAAAATATTCATCTTTTGTATGATATAGCAACTCACTGCAAGTGCAGATTATTAGATAAGTGATTAATTTTGGGGCTTTTAGGTTATCAGATTTGATTAGGCATTCTCTTTCTTTTGCGATGGAAACTTGCAATTATCTGCATTCTTATCAACTTAGGCTTCAAGATGGATGGTCTAGGCATCCATTTGCTGCAAATTCTTGAAAAATATTCACCTTTTTTATGATCTAGGCATTTACTGCAAGTGCAGATCATTGAATAGCGATTCAATACCTCGCACTTAGGTTAATAGCTCTGATAGGCATTCTCTTTCTTTTGCAACAGGGAACTTACAATTATCTATACTCTGATCAACTTAAGCCTCAAGAGGGATCTTCTAGGCATTGATTTGCAATCCTAAAAAGATTCACCTTCTGCGATATAATTCCTATCGGTCCTCATATTGGGTTCATCTCAAATCTTTATTCCTTCTTTAAGCTTTTCCAAAATGGTGCAGAGTAAGAAGATGGTGAACTGCTTCCATTATAGTTGATGACATTGGCTCTCTAGAATTTGATGCTATCTTTTTGTTAGATACTAGGAAAGACGTTCGTAGTGCATGAGGCTCCCATCAATGTGGGATCCAGGACCCTTGTCTCTCACTATAGAGAAGAACCCTAATCTCCCAAGTCGCAAAGGAATAAGCGCGGCATTATTGTTATTAGATTCTTAATGCTGAAAATCATGCTGATAGAGATACATATAATTTTTTTTCAGTAATCTTATACTTCAGGTAATAAAACAAGTCTTCACCTTATAAATTCTGCATATTGTTCTATGGAACCAGTTTGTTTAACCTACAATCTTCATTTGTAGGACATGTTGGCTTTGATTGAGCCAAGCAAACTGGATTGAAGCAAACCTTTTTTAAACCATTATCACAGATTTGTATGCTTAGGCAAGTCAAATTATGTTCTGGAGTGATCCTCAAATTGCTAATTATCTTGCTTAAATTAGCAGATAATTATATGCAATTAATGCCTCTAAGACACATTATATCATGCTTATATGGAGCCAATCTATTGTCATAAATGATGTTAGAGGAGATTGATAATGTCAGTATAACCTATGTAACATTGTCTCCTAATTTATCAGAAATTTCCACCAGCACAGCATTTTGCATAACTAATGATGTCCTGATGGCTTATTATCATTTTTTGTAATAATCAACGACACTGTATCTCTCCATCCAGTAAAAATATGAAGACACCGAGAACCATAACTAATAATAGCCCCAATCTAGCTTACGGAGGATTTTCACTTCATCTCAACTGTTTAACTATATTGAGAATCTGTAGTCTCCCCCTACTAGTGAGCTATCTGACCTCACTCAGGATGGGCAAATTAGTATGGATTGTGGCCCAGACCCTTGACTCTGAACCATGCATTGTTTGGGAAAACAGGGTGTGGAACCTTGTAGCTTCTTAGTTCTTTTGCTGATTCAATCGCACATTAATTAAGAAATTGAACCAACGGATAGGACCTTTGTGATGATATGTGTTTTGCAGTTACCTACGTCTTTGATGCACTGTTTTTTTTTTGTTTTTGATCAGATATTCAGTGTCATTGAGTATGTGAAATGGATTATAGAATTTCTAGAGGTTATACCATTGGGGAGAGGTGGGTCTTTTATTCACAAAGAAAATTCTTACGCTTTGTAGGTTCATTTCTTTGTAACAAAGTGCTACAGTCATGTCTGCAGTTCAGGGTCAACTTTTCCCTCTACTATCCTAGGATTACTTTACCGCCTACTAAACATTTCATGTTGACTTATTTCCACTTTTGCAGTACTTTGTTGGTGTTGATGATACTGCTCATACTTTCTTTGTTCTTGGTTTTAGGTATCATTGTGTATAACTTTGTTCATTCTTGATGTCTGTTTTTTCTTCTTCATTACCTTGGAGGTTTCTTGCATTAAGGGGCTGCAGTTGAAGTGTATCAAAAAATAAGGAAGAAAATGAATGAAAAATATATGTGATAACTAATTTTTAAAAGGAAAATGGATGTTGTTATCAATAGGCAAATCGGAAGAAAATGGATGAAATAATATGTGCTAACTAATTATTAATAGGAAAATGGATGTTGTTATCAGTAGGCAAATCAGAATAATTATTGACTTTTCTTTTACCATTATTAAAAGAATAAACAATGTAATGATGAACAGTATTGGTTAGAATTATTTAGTTGGCTGAGACTACTGACTAGATATTAGCTTGTTTCTATATTAAAGCCCTAAAAAGCATCCATGATTGGTAGTTATTACAAAATATGCGCCATTTTATTTTTTAGCCAAATGAGGCCTAAAGCACAGGACAAAGCAAATAGTAAGTGTCACTTGTGCTGCTTTCAAATGAGACTCATGCATATGGTATGCTTATGACTACTGCCCATATTCAATTCAATCGCAAGGTTCTCACATGCGGTAATCTTCTATTATGCTGATTTTGGTTGTTGATCTTGTGTTTCCTCCCTCCCTTTCATCCCCCATTCCAGTAAGGAAATTTTGACTAGTGATGGTGTTAAGCTGAACAAGAAAAGGAAGCTACAATATGCTCTTGAGAATCTGGTTTCGCCATTGTCTAAACACAAGTTCGGATATCGATTTAGAAGCACTGGTCATACTATTGCAGCAGAGACAGAGGATGTGCAAAACATTGACAGAGAAATGGTTGCTGGAGGACTCAAGGATGGATCAGAGGAATTAGGAGATTCTTGCAACGACAGTAACAGCGTAAGTGAAGGTTATGATACTACCATGACACTCGACCTCGATGATGAAGCAGAGAAGTCATCTGGGAAAATTGGTTCGCCTTCTGTCTCTTCTAACAATTTCAACCTTGATTCTTTCGACACTAAAACAGTTAAGGAATCAGGCAACAAAGGAAATGACAGCTTAGAGGATATTCAACTACTTGAGTCGGCATATAAAGGCATAGACGATCTACATCCTGGATATGAGGATTATGGCCATAACATTGTTTCAGAACTAGGCAAGAACAACTTGGAGCATTTAGATGCAGAAATCGAAGATCTAATGCTCTACTCAAATGATGTGGCGCCACATGCATTATTGGTTTCGCCTGAAAGGTGGAGCAGCGGCAGAGGTAAATTGCTGCTTTTCTATACTTTCTTTTCCTGCAAGACATTGATCTACTCTTGATAGTCGAACAATGTGTAAATATAACAAAAAAAAGAAAAAAAACACTGCCTTGCAGATGCTCGATTGGGCGCGAGGAAACCAACCATTGACAAAGAGTTTGAGCAATATTTTTCCATGTTGATGCTTTAGCAAGGAAAAACGAGAAACTTCTTCTGTTTATCAATAAGTAATTATGATGTTGTAACTTGAACAAGATTGCAACCATCATGTTGTTGTGAATATATTCTAGTTATAATGATGTGGGCAAAATCTTCTGCTGCCAAGAGAGTATTGAGTATCATCCTCGAACAAGAACACTGTGTCCAGTATCCCTGAAATTGCTTGTTGCAGCAGGCAGCTCTAGGTTCTCTTGTTGTATAACTTGTTTGTGATGCAGACAAAGCAAGGTGGAATAATCAAAACTTGGAATTTATTTTCCTTTCAGTTCTAAATTGTTTGATTTGTTTCTCTTGAACAAGTTGATATGCTTTCTGTCAATCCAATGTGTTTCTTCAAGCGAGTGATGAGCAAGTTAGTCATGGGGAAATTTTAGGGTTGTGGCGTTCATCAATAGTGTTTCCACCCGCACGTCCTACTACCCGTTCTGCTACCAGCGTGTGATTGGTCAGACGGTTTCGGGACCCATGTGAAAGCCAAACCTTCGTCCTCTACGCCTGCAAGTATCGTGGGCTTCGGTGGAAGCTCATCCGTGCCGGCGCGACAGGGTTTTGGGGTTTCTCACCGCTCTGTTCGGTGGTACCCACCTGAGTGACCACTGGTTCCCACGGATGACCTTGAACCCTGATTGCGTTAGAACACGGAATCCCCAATGTTCGAACACGCAGCTCCCTAAACGGTTACGACATCCTCGGCTCCGCCATCGACACTTCCCCCCCGCGCCCCCCCGGCCCCGGGGTTTCGCCCATTGATCAGCCCCAAAACCTCTTCCGGTTCATGGAGGATCACTCCGTTCACAGCTCGCCCTCCTCTGCCACCGTCACTGCCGACGTGGGGTCCCACGACGTTCCCAGGAAGACACCCGCACAAGGTCAACATTTGTGCTTGCTACGAGCCACGGAAGTGAGGAAGAACTACAGCTTCTGCATTCCATTATCTTGTTGGTCGTGGACGCTCCTCCGCATCAGGATGATTTCTACCTGAACCTGGTCAACTGGTCCTCGCAGAATGACTTAGCCGTCGGATTGGGGACTTGTGTGTATACCCAACCAAAAGCAAGGTCTTACACATCATCGATTTAGCTCGATATAGTAGCGAAGAAGAATACTTCTCTGATGGTTCCAAAAATGGAGGTACTGCACATCCAAACCAGTACTTTTTTCTTGTGATTATAGGTGACAAACTCTGTGATTTGATTTGGGTAATGGAGATGGTGTATGCGCAATCCAATGGAGTAGGGAAGGCTCCCATCTTGCAATTGGAGCAGCTCTTGGAGATGTCTGGTATGCTGATGCTTGTGTTTATTTTCTGAACACAAAAATGTAGCTGAACACTTTGTGGACAGAAGTTTGTGGCCAGTACACATGCTACTTTGGATTAATTGGTTTGATTTAGAGAAACAAGGTTACCTGATATTAAAGCCGAGAATCTTGAGCAATGTTAGTCAGCAAATTCCACACTTGTCATTTGGTTATTAGATTTATTGGGTTCCTAGAACTGATACATTTTACTAAGAGTTCTCTTGGTCAATAGGTTTTTTTTTTTTTTCATCTTCTACATGTGGATTTGCATAAATTGGTCCAATGCAGATCGTGTATACATTCATAGTTGTCGATAGCACCAAGATTGTCTTTGTCTCTATTTAGTTGCTTTGATATTTTATTTCATATATGCAGCAATATATTAATACGAACTCTTGCCTTGAAATTAAATAGTCAAATCCGATGATCACACATCATCAAATATGTTCCAGGAATGAATTGGATGTTATTAAAAGCAAGGTCTGTCGTAACGAAGCGTATCATCCGTACCGGGCGGTACGTACCGGTCCGACAGGTTACCGGTACGCGGACCGCTCGGTACCGCTACAATGCTATAGTACTATACTGTAGCACTGCTACAGTATGAAAAAATAAAAAAATATTTGGTACACCAGGGTGTACCACTCGATACGCCCTGGTGTACCTCTCGGTACGCCCTGATGTACCGCCCAATACACCGGTACTGTACCGTACCGAGCCCAGGTCGAAACGCCGGTACGGTACGGTACAACGAACCTTGATTAAAAGTTCATTGCATAAAGAAAGATAATTTTTTTATTTTATCTTTGAGGATAAATTCATCTGGTATTTAGTTTAGATAATAAAATAGATCTCACCTTAGATCCTCTAAATCAATCATCATGCCCGTAAACAGGTTTGTACAACATTTGGCTTCTAGTTATCTAGAAGAATCATCATGCGTGTACCAGGTTTTAGCTTCTAAAATTTCATTGAAGGAACAAGATAAAACATTTTCTTGGTTTTGAGAATAAATTCGTCTAATATCTACTCAAGGATAAGCAGATAGATCTCACCTTTGAGCATCATGCCTGTAACTAGTTTGTATAACTTTAGCTTTGACTTGTCCTAAAGAATCATCATGCATGAACGAGCTTTTAGCTTCTAACTTTTCATGAATGAAGAAGATAAAATTTTTGCTTGGCTTTTGAGAATAAACTCATTTGATATCTCCTTAAGGATAAGCAGAGAGATCTCACCTTTGATCTTGAAAATAAATCATTATGCCTATGACAGGTTTGTGGATTGAAATGGGCCTATCATGGCCATGAGCTGGGTTATGGTGGCAATAACAATCAGTCCAGCGTTTAACTCAATCATCTCTGCACTGAAATGGTCCCGTGGCATACAGTTCATTAGGACTGCTAGATCATACATAATGGTCCTTTGGTTTCCTTGTGAAACAGCTCTTAATTTGGGACCAGTGCTCTCAAAGGCCACTCTTGAAACTGATAGAGCACACAGCTTCAGTTAAAACCATTACTCAAGTACCCCGTCGGCACAGCCTTGTTGCATCAGGAGGCGGAACAACTTACTGGTGCATCCACTTCTGGAACACTTGTGATGCGGAACATGCTCAACTGTCTGGACACCAGGAGTCGACTAATATTATAAGCCTAATTTTTGTGGTGAAAACTTTTGATGTCATTATTCCAGGCTTATATGGTTCATTTTCTGCAGGTCTGCAATCTAGCATGGATGATCTGCAGGTTTGGAAGTACCCATATATCAGCAAGGTAGACGGCTTGGTAGCAATTGACTCTCACACTCGATGATAAATTTGCCTCATTCTAGAAAGCCAGTTGCAAGAGCAATCAGTTTTAGACAACATATAATCTTACTTACTTGAGGAATAAGCCCTCCTGCAAATATTTTTTAAGATTTTATATTGACAGCCTCTAGAAATGCTTCTAGTGAGTCAAAATCATATTATTAGCAGAGTAAAATTGCAACACAATGAAACCAAATTCTTTAAGACTCAAAATAAATTAGTATTCTGTGTGTACTTTGAAGTTGAATGTTTCACATCGGTCGGGTTGAAATTTTCTTCCTCCCAGGATACTGTCAGATTCGTTTGTCTTTTAATATTTATATAAGTTACATCTTTCTTGAGTTTTGAAAAGCCTGTTACCTTCCCCTTCATTTGTGGGCATCCTTTGAGTAGTTTCTATGGTTCTTATTCACAATTGAGTAGTTTTATATCAATATTCAGCTTAACTAAGAGAAATCTCATTACATCACTTTCACTCCGTCAATTCTTATCCATTTGGACTTAGTAAATTATGAGATTATTTCTTCTTTTTTTTGTGGTTGGATCATCATAAAGTTTGGCCTTGGACAAAGAAACTGTAGAAGAAGACTCTTAGGGGATTCAGGTTTCAGCTCTTGGTTTACTCCCCTTCAATTGTGAGCGTCTTTGAGTAATTTCAATAGTCCTTGTTTATAAATTTAATGGTTTTTCATCCATGTTCTACCTAATTAAAAACATCACTCTCACTCTATTCTTTTTTATCGGTTTAATCTTAGCAATCTATGAGATTATTTGTGCATAATTTTTGTTGCATGAATCTTCAGAAAGTTTGGTCTTGGACAAAGGAACTTCAGAAGAAGACTCATAGGAGCCTTGGACTTCTTTTCTTAGTTTAATTCTATAAATACATTGTGTTAATTAGTGAATGGAATGTACATTTTTTTGTGCCTCACGTATCTTTTCTTGTTTAAGTGAATTTTTTTGTCATCTAGTATTGCAGTTTAGCTTTTGATTATCATTCATATTTAGCTTCAAATCTTATGATATTTCTGCTCTCTTGATTAAAACATCACAAAACAGGTAGCAACTCAGGTGATAACACTTCATGAATTATGCCCTGCCTTGTCACCTGATGAACAGGTAAAGGTTGTTTGAGCACATTTTTTTCCTTTATGCCAACTCGTATGCAACTCCAGAAGGTAGTATGATGATGGGAAATAAACTGGTAGATTGAGATTGAGGTGCAAATTATTGCCATGTTGCCCGATGGAAAGTTAAGCACTAGTTGTGGACAATGATATCCCTACTGATTGTTCAGAATGAATGGAGCTAAAAATAATTGGTGGATTGACTGTCAAATCATTTTGCTGTGCCTTAACTGCAGACTATTGTGACTGGAGCAGGCGATGAGAATGAGGTTGTGGAATGTTTTCTCCTCAGTGAAAACAACTGACAATGGCATTTCATCATTTGGTGGAGTTCTACTTTGCTCTAAACCACATATTATCGACCATTCAACTGTGTTCTTTAAGAAGTTATTGATGGGATTTTACCATAGGCTCCTGCACGTGAAACCCGAGTTTGGTCCCCGGGAAGAACACATATGCTGACTAAATAGCAAGTATGGCCCTAACTCTTTACATATGTTTTGTACATTATCTAACAACAAAAGAAAATTTCTGATCTTAGTTATTAGATCTTGCATCATGTTTCGTGAGTTTTCACACATCTAATCAGCAAGAACTTCACTCTGACATTGTTTGTAGCAATCTTCATCTGGAAAATCTAGCATTAGCTTATATTTGCTGGAATTTGTGAACAAAACTAGTTTTAATTCACTTATATGCTTCATGTTGTAGCAATTTTTACCTGCCTGAAAATTCTTATCTGCATCTTGTTATTGGCCAATGAGAAACACAAACGTGATCAATCCTTTCACTTTTTGACAGCATTCTAAGAATCTTTCTTTATCTTTAGTACAGTGATATTTGGATTGCTGCTGCACATCAATGTTTCAATCTTGAATTGATCAGTTCTGCAACTACACATGTCCAAACAATTCCAATTATGATTCTTTGAGGATGAGTGTTCCTCTACACTGTCAAATTAGAATTGTTATGCTTTAAAGTTCCTAAACTCATCTTGAAATATCTTTTAAAAGAAAAGGGAGTCCATCAGTGACATTAAAATCCAGCATTTCATGTTCTACTGGTTGGAAATCTCGACCAAACTTCTATGATTGAATAGGGGTTAGAGTCAAACATACTCCACTGCAAGTGTGATAGGAAGTCCCAGTCTACCTTGTTTGCCTTTGGTGTCTTGGACTGGTTTACTATCTGCTACTTTATTACTTCTAGTTGTGGACTTTAGTATCATCTCACATCAAGAACATCAGAGTGGTTGTGATTGACATATGCTTAGAACAATCATGATTCAAGTACTAATCATACATATTATCTAAAGAAAAGAAATGACAACATGTGTGCATCAACAGCTGCAAGTTGTTGTTTAGTAGCATATGGCCAGGTTTTGGAGTGATATGATACCAGCAACTGTCTCAATTAAAGATTTAGGGTTGCAAGATTCCAGCTGGGTTACCATGAAAACTGGTGAATTAGATGGCAAAGTTCGAGTGGGTTTGATGGCAATGAAAGGTGTTTGTGCCCTCTACTCTAAGAACTCCAGAGTGACAAGAGAGTTCAAGTTGTACCTCTCTCTCTCTCTCTCTCTCTCTCTCTCTCTCTCTCTCTCTCTCTCATATTAGTTTTCGTTGTCTGTTTGTGTCCTGAATGCAAATTCTATGCAGGGCATCCTACGTCGGAAAGCTACTAAAGGTACGTTCCATCGACACAGTCCATCTCGTTCGTTCGTCTAATTTGATTGAACAACGTTAAAGTTGGCTGCATTATTGGATGTTGTCTTGTGTTTTATCTCTCTCTGCATGTTTTTGGTAGCCTCAGTGGCTATTTCTTTTTATTTTTTCTTTCTTGCAGGAAAAAATATAGTCGACAAGCAAACCGCAACTTGCCACGTGCATCACATCATCTCTCTTCCCCCCAATTATTGTCCTTGCCAGTGGCTTAACCACTACATTGACATCTGGATAATGATTGGGTCGACAAGTGAAACGTGGTCTTAATTTATTTACCCTAAACTCTCACGCAGGCCAATCCAATCCGCTACAAGACAAACACATCTTTCTCCACCTGTGTTCATTGTACCCTCTCTACTCCGTACCTTATCATAGGAAGCAGAGCGGGCCCCATCAAGTTATCCTTGCCGGACACGCCACGCCGCCGATCTCCCCAGACCCGCCTTCCGCAACTCGACGGCCTCGTATCGAAGCCAGATTCGACCTCGTTGCTCGTCTGGATCCACAAGCAAGACGACACCCAATAATGTACCGACAGCTGGGTAGACAAGAATCCAGGCGGGTCGGTAGACATAATTTCCACAAAGTGGGGGCCGATGCTATTGCCTATTTAAGTGGAAGCCACCCGACCTCTCTTCTTCCCCCTCTCCCTTCCTCGCCCTCAGCCCCATACATTTCCCTGTTCCTGTGGAACGGGAGAAAGATCGTAATTTTTGCCTCTCTCTTCATCCTTCTATCCTCTTCTCTTTCTCTCGATTGATCTCCCCTGCATTGTGTTCCAGATCTATCTTCTGTCAGAATCAGGTAGCTTCTCCCTTTCCTGGCCTTGGATGAGAGATTAAAGTTGGATTTGTTCTTCCTGCGAATTCAAATCTGCAAAAAGAAAAAATTTAGATCGAGATCAGCTTTTTTCTCTTCGGTTCATCATTCCGAGAAGCTAAAATTTCGATTTTGTTTCTGCTTTGGATCGGCTGCAGAGATGATTGTCTTTGTTCTTCGATGACTTGTTTATAACGTAATCATGAATTTGAAGAACAAAAAGCAATGAACTTTAATGAAAAATTCTGCAGTAGATTGATTCTCAATTCCTTTCTCAACTGTTCTTCGTAACCTGTGAAGGTTACAACCGATCGAGATGGAGTATGAGGACCGATTCAGACAGGTTCAGAGACCCAAATACGATTGTCTTCTCTTCGGTATGTTTAAGGATTTCCCTACGAAGGTTTCGATGTTTTTATTTCGCTTACAAGACTAGTTTATGTTCTTGAACACAGACTTGGATGACACGCTCTATCCCTTGAGCTCAGGCGTCGCATCTGAGTGCCTCAAGAACATTGGAGGTATATATCATCATCGTAGCCTCCCAGTCCTTGTTGAGGTATAATAACTCTTCCCTTTCATGATTCAGATTACATGGTCGAGAGACTCGGAATCGAAGAAAGAAAGATCTCGGACTTGTGTAATCTTCTTTACAAGAACTATGGCACAACGATGGCTGGACTACGAGTACGCAAAAACTCGCTTTAGTTTCGAGCATTACTTGAATTATAATCCTGTGCCCTCATATCGATTGTATTTCTATCTGTTGTTGATCAGGCCATCGGCTACGAGTTTGACTATAATGATTACCACAGGTTTTGAGCCTAAATCTCTTTGTTTTATCTACTTCAGCAAAAAGTAATGCTTGTAGCTAACTATAGATTTTGTTTGCTCAAAAGCTTCGTTCATGGACGATTGCCTTACGGAAAGTTGAAGCCCGATCCTGTTCTTAGGCATCTTCTTCTTAGCCTCCCAATTCGCAAAGTCGTAAGTCACTTCGATGCAGGATCCTATTATGATGCAGATTGAGTGCAACTTCTTGTTCCCAATGCAGATATTTACCAATGCTGATGAGGTGCATGCTGCTAAAGTCCTCCGAAGGCTCGGCCTCGAAGACTGCTTCCAGGGAATCATATGCTTCGAGACACTTAATCCTTTGCCGGCATCTTCTTCTGATCAAGAACGCAAAACTGAAGTATTCGACATTGTCGGTCACTTCTCTCATCCGACTGATGGAGTTGAACTGCCCAAGACACCGGTTCTGTGCAAACCATCAGTGGATGCAATGGAGCATGCTCTCAGAGTTGCTGGCATTGATCCACAAAGAACAGTGAGATTCTTTAGACCGGGATGAAATTGTTGTGCTTGTTTAATTTGGTCTGACCCGAGCAAATTCTTTTGCAGATGTTCTTCGATGACAGTGTTCGCAATATCCAGTCAGGGAAACACATTGGCTTGCACACAATTCTGGTAGATCATGTTGCTGAATTCAGGACTTCATTTGTTGCTGAATTCAGCGCTAATGGAGTTCATGCTTTGTTGTGGATTCAGGTGGGCACTTCGCGCAGGATCAAAGGTGCAGACCATGCACTGGAAAGCATCCACAACATGAAGGAGGCATTCCCTGAGCTGTGGGAGGAGGGCGAGAAGTCAGAGCTTGTTCTTCACTCAGGAAAGATCGGGCTGGAGACATCTGCCATCGCTTAGTTCTTGCATGTAGTCACTGGTAGAGGAGGAGAAGAGATCATCAGCATGACATGGATGAACCCTGTCTGCTACTTGGAACATGTTGTACTCAATGTTCAGAAATAAGATTTCTTATCTGGAAATGTTGATGCATGCAGACTTGCAAATAATTCTCCATGGAAATAGTTTCTGCTTCTCCAAATCAACTTGGTCAGCAACGTTCAGTGACACAACTGGCTATATATATATATATGCAAAGCTTTTAGCATCTCATTCTGTCTTGAGACTTAAATATCAAGTTGTTTCATGAGTGATATCTTGTTGAATAATTAACTTAGTTCTCATAACTTGTATATTATTAGTTCTTCCTTGAGTTTTACTATAATTACATCTTACTAATAATTTACTATATTCAATTCACAAGGTCTGACTTGATGCTATTATTTCTTTTTCTTTTTGTGTGTGTGTGTAGCTCAAGCACTGCTTAGATTCTATACTTGTACTACCCTAATGAGAAATAGTATGAGATCAACGATAAGATCAGATCTGTGATAATGTATTTTATTGCTCAAAACTAATCTACTAGATTTAGTGGGAGAAGCCAAAACGTATAATAAACTGCGCATGATCAACGAGACAGTGATGGTGGGAATCGTAGCTTCCTGCCATCTGAAAAGTTACTGAGATGAGAAGGCAACACATATCTGCAGCCACCAGGTTTTCATCCACCTCTTTCACGCGTTTCACATGTGTGCAGAGACCAATATCTGCAAGAAACATTGTTGCTGAAACAATTGCTGGTGTTGTGTGTTTGAGTCGCATCGCAGCTTAGCTTGGAATGAAGTCTTTCTTTATACGATATCAATCAAGAAGAATCTCAAGGAGAATAATAAGTATTGATGATGAATAAGAAAGAAAACATGGAGAAGGAATTAGAAAAGGACAAGAAGAAGAAGAAGAAGAAGAAGGTAGAGAAAGAATCAAAAGAGGAGGAAGGAAGAATGTGCAGATGTCTCTGAGCATGAGAAGAGGGAGGAAAGACAAGGATGGAGTTCTCTCATCGGATCGGATCATAACAGTGAGCTTCTCCAAAAAATTATAAAGGTTAAGCTCTAAATCTTAACGAAAATTTAGATTGAAATGATCGGTTCATTTTGATCGTCCTTACCATAACACACACACACACACACCGATCTCTCCACCATTATCTGCATATCCTTAATTATGATAATAACCATAATTACTTTATGTTCTATTTAAACTCATCCCAAGCCATATCAAAATATTAGTTTCCTCATTTTATAGTGCTAATGGACACATGAAATTATTCTCAAGCTCTTTTCTTTTTTAATAATTACATTAATTTATTTATTTATTGCTTTTATTACATGAAATATATATATATATATATATATATATATATATATGTAAAGGGATCAATACAGAAAATAGTGACTGTAGAGGGAGATATATGCAATTTGGCCACATAAATATAAAGGTCCCGCCGGAGCCGGTAAAACCCTAACCCGAACGCGACCCTTTTCCTTCGTCGATGGCGTCGATGGAGAAGTTCAAGTTAGGGTTCCGATCCCTCGCGTCGGACATCAGCACGAACACCGCCGCCGTCAACTCCTCCGGCTTCTCGTCCTCCTCCGATCAAGCCCATGTCCTTGTTCACCGCGCTCCCATCGGGTACTTCGAATGCTCTGAAACCTTGGTTTCCTTTTCTCTGTATAGTCCATCTCGTTCTTGTAGTCGAGCTGGAAATTGGACGAAGGTATTGGGATCCGGGTTCTGGTAAATATGTATCTGTTCGTGTTCCATGATTGATTACAGTCTGAGAACGATTTCATCTCTCTGACAATTAGCGTCAAGGTGGAACTTTTGCCTTGAGGTGTATTAACAATTCATATATTGTAGGACTTGTTTATATACAATTATCTTATCTATCTCGAGGATAAAGATTTCGCTTACAGGCTTTTTTAGCATTTCCTATTTTCTTGTTACCATGAATTGTCACAATCCATAGCTGATTGCTGCTAAATTGGCATGAACTTTGACGTTCTAGTTGTGCTTTGGAAGACTTTTCTACATGTATCCTCATTACTAATGTGTCCTTTTTTTCTCTAAAAAGTGTAGCTTTACCCTCTTTTTATCAGCTGTTTTTAGAGTCTAGAAACAATGAGTTTGTACTATAAAGGTAGTTGCTACGAACTATGATAGCAGAGGCTTAAGTTGTCAAAGATATGTAAGTACTTCTTACTTCATGCCATAGGCAATTAAATGGCATGTGCAAAGCTATAATTTATTGGAAACATATGACATTTGCCGGGTAGGAAGAGGTGCGTACCAGAAAGTTAAGTCTCAGATAAAGGAAATATTAATGCTAAGAATGTTCTGAGTTTCATTCACTTTATAACCTAGACAATGATTTAGAATGAGAAGCATTTGCAATTTGCCAAGACAAAGAAAAGCCAGTGATAGTATTGTTTTATTTTGTTTTGTCTTTTTGTTTTTTAAGCCCAACAGTTGGTATGCTAAAGAATCTGCACTAATTGAAACATTACAAGAGGTAATATTCTTAGGAAATTTGATGTTTGGTATTATGCATCGATAACATGCATGGTAGCCATCACAATGAAAAGTATTTGGATGCATGCTTCAGCACAACAATGAAGATACAGAAGAACATGGGTTGAACTTTTTCCATTTTGCTAGCACTGTGAAAGCTAATAGCTACTGGTTTAAGTTTCTCTATGGCCACTAAAATATGCAGAGGGTCATTCTTAGTAGCTTGCAAGTTGATTAGCTTTTTGAAGAGATATTGTTATGGTCCTTATGACTTAGCTAAATTGAATACTTAAGTTTCTTGGGGAACATTTTCAGAGTTAAAAATTTAACAAATATACACAAATGTTCATCTTTCCATTCTTAGATTATGATACATATCCATAAGGCTGAAATTGTAATATTTGTCTTATTTTGAACACTAAAACTATCCAAGCTGATCCATCAAGTCCTTAAACCTTGTCCTATTTATTAAATTTATGTTTCACTATATTAAATAAGTTTTTGAACCCTAAAGTCTAGGAGGCATGGAAACGACACGGCATGAATGCTACAATACGTTGGGAGGACACGTGTGTGTGCGTGTGCGTGCATGGCTGAGGAAGAAGCTTCATCAAATGTTGTTGAAGTTGTCAAAGGCCCAAGGGCGCGCGATGGTCA